CATCTGACCGGCTTCCCTTGGTTCCCTGTGCAAGCAATGGAGAGAAGCCGGCAGCCCGGAGAGGCACTGGGAGCAGGAATCTAATTCAGACACTCTGACCAGCCCTGCAGAGCAGCACACCTCTCTACTGATTGTGCAGTGAGCCCTGCAGGATTAAGCATCTAAATTGGGAACCTAAGGTTAGATACTCTGAGGACAAGAATGAATACCACCTTTTTTCCAAGCCTGTTATAGCCTCCCATATATTTCAGAAGTCTGATCATTATTCACATCTGAAGATTCTCATAATTGGAAGGTACACACAAAAAATCTAATGCTAAAGCCAGGGAAATATGAATCACTTGAAAACCTCTGAGGAAGTGAGGACAATGAAGGATGAAAAATGAGTGTGGGGAGGATAAGAGCAAAACAGCAAATAAAGAGGAACAAGGATTGGTCGAGTGACAAAAGGGCTTTGATCGTTCACCTGGTTCTCAAGCTGAAGGGAAAATAAGTAGCATCCATTACATGGAGCAGTGCTGCCACACAGTGACAGAGAATAAGCTCTGAGCAGTACTTGCAAAAAAAATTGCAGCAGTAATGACACTGGGAGCTTAATGTTTATGGTCAAAGGCAAACAGGACACTGGCTTCTTTGCTGAAACAACGCTCAATGTAATTACAGGAGGCAGCGTTATTGCCAGGTAAGGACCAAATCTGAGCCTAACTGGAGTGGCAGGTGTTGAGACTGGTTCACAGGCTATTACAAAATATCAATGGCAGTCATGGAGTTAAAACTCCATTTAAGTCTTTTCTTTCAGCAGAGTAATTAATAATTTTAAAAAAAATTACTTTCTCTTAAAGTACAGACTAAGCTTTTCTGATAGTCTGATACACATTAATTCTATAAATTATTTTGAGTTACTAGATTTTGAGATAATAGAAAGAAGCCCCCGTTTCTAAAGAGAGGACTGATATATGTCTGTGACTAGTGTAAATCAGAATAATACATTTTCAAATAAAAACCCCCACAAGGCTAGGACCCAAAGCAGGTTAGGTAGCAAAGTCATATGAATTCCATATGGGCAGAGTAAAGAGCCCTTAGCTTCATGTCATTAGAAAATCCCAGCCCAAGTGAGTATTGTCCTGAAGTTTCTGGGCTATTTCTATCTTAAACCCAGTATAAAGAACATTAATTGTCTAAGGATACAGTAAAAAATTATATATGGACAGCACCCATCATGTAGTGCTGGGACTCAGCTCAGAGTCCTTTGGCTAAAAAACAAACAAATATACAAAATCTTTTTTCATCTTTTCTTTAGGCAGTCCTGGAGGATTCCGCATCAGAGAAACTGTAATGCACTAATTATCTCTTTGCTAGCAGAATTCACAAAGCAGGAAACCAAATTATTTTCCTTGGCCTGGGTGCAAGAAGAGGGCCCTGCTCTCCCTGTTATCCTGGAACCGCTATGCACCTGACCAGAATTAAGCTGTCCTTGAGTTTTAAAGGTGCTGAACCCCTCTGGCTCCCAGTGGGATGTGAATGCCTTCAGCAGTGTTGAAAATCAGGTCACAAGATCCTCTGGGAATGCCAGTGTTTCACAAGAAATCATTTGCATGAAACTCAGCTGGGGATATGCCTGCCTCGCGTTCCATAAAATAGTCCCGATTTTTCATTACAGCAATTAACAGGCAGAAATGTCTTTATGTATCTATTTACTAATTTACATATGTGTGTGTATATGTGTTTTACATTTCAGCATCGTCCCAACAAGGTCTGCCTTTGCCCTGGGATGAGCTGGGATGACACTGACTGTTGGGGTGAAGCAGGTACTCCTACAAGGTGCGTGTCCCATCTGGGGTCATTGAAAGCCAAGGAAATAACACCCAAATAAATACTTGTGCTTCATAAAGAAGGGGATCCTGTATATTATCTTTGTTGTCCATGCATGCAATCAAGCAACATTAGAATGGAGATCCCAGAGTGCTTTACAGCAGCTAAGCACACTTGAATTTCGAAACGCCTTTTCCTAGCACAGCATGATACCCTGAAATTTTACGTAACGATCTAACAATGAAGTTGCATTATGTCCCTTATCATCTCCCTTTTTATTTTAACTGAAGGATCAATACAGCTAAAGGTTAGAAAAGCCCCGTCTGATTCTTGCAATCCTGGCTCATAGTTGTCTCCAGTTGGAAGTGTGAGCTCAGCCGTAACCACAATGCTGCTAGCAAATGCTATAAAAAGAAAAGCTGTCTGAAATTGGAAAAGTTTTTTCCAACACTTTCTCAGAGACGGCAGCAGCAGGTCTGTTTAATGCATTGGGGAAGCTGCAGCCAAAAAAAAATCTGTAATGGGGGTGGGTGTGAAAGGAAACATGAGGTTGTCAGTCAAAGTGAAAAAGAACAGAATTTCCAGGGAGCTGGAAACACTACATAAAAGGAGCTTTTTGGAGAAGACAAAAAAAATTTCTTTCCTTGGAGATGGACAGAAGAAGGATGAGAAGGCAGAGAAAGAGAATGAACTGGAAAAGAAAAAAAAAAAAAAGATTGCAATTCAGAAGGCCAGTATGGAAGAGGTCACTGGTCAGAGTTACAGGGGACTGAGAACTCCTCCCAGAGCTGGCACACACATTGTGTTCTCTGTGTGCTGGCCTTTGCCACACCAAGCAGGGACTTTCAGAACTGCTGTGATCTGTTTAAGATGACCTCATTTTCTTCTAAATGGGCCTTTTTTTTTTTTTCTACAGATTCTTACCACATATTAAATTTTGGAAGAACTCTTCAGTGAATGACCATGAAGTACAAACAGCCATGAGAAACTGAAGATGGGCAAGTGGGAAAAGCCCGGTGCAGCTCTCAGGCCTCTCAGTGTCCTCAACACTTTAAAATGTCCGTAAACCCACTATTGCTATTACAGTAGAGCCACAAAGCCCGGTATCTGACGGGTCATTGTTTTAGGCAAAATGAAATCAGTAAGAAGAAAGAGCATCCCCACACTAAGCTGTTACTGGCTGTATAAGTAAATATATTCTAAAACACAAAATTGAAGCGGTACTTTTATGAGGCTGATGCTCAGAACTGAAAAGCCACAATCACCACTGTAGTCAGAAGAAGCTGCCAGGGTTCAACAGACACTGATGAAAACTAGAGACACAATTTGGGAACCTACAAGTACTTTGCAAGAACTCACAAGAATGGGGAGATCAGGAAGCAGAAACCCAGATTTACATTTACAAGTAACATATGCTGGACATATATCTATTTTATTTTAGGGTACCTACTGCTCTGCCAGAAAATGGAGCGCAAACAATGGAGACTTGCATGTGCACAAAACACTTCAATTACTAATCCTTTCCCCTCGCATTTAGGAAAGGATACACAATGAGTAGGTGTGAGAAGGAAGGGCAGGGAATCATGACTGGGGCAGCCTGTATCTCCTGGAACAACGCTGCTTTGTCTTTGAGCCTGTCGGCATCTCATGGCAGATGAGCTTGTTCGCTAGCTGCCTCGTCCGCACAGCTGCGTCTTTCCCAGGAGACTGCCTGAGCCAGGTGTGAAGAAAAGAGAGGTCATCGTTCTTGCAAGTAAACAGAGAACAGAAGAATGAAAGAAATGTGAGAGAGTATATTGCAAAGTGACATTTTCCAGAACTATTTTGAGTAATTGGGGTCTGCAGAGAGTTGTGTATCTCTCAAACTAGAAAGATTTACTATGCATCATTCCAGTAGCCGGCAAAGGAGAGCATTGGGATTCAGCAGAAACACAGGGAGGGACATACCACCCCAGATCCATCCCTCTGGTGACCTAGGCAGAGACATCATATAACCCCTATTAGAAGCCTCCTGAGCTCCCTCTTAAAAACAAAACAAAACAAAACAAAACAAAAACCACCAGATTTTCTCCATGTGGCTTCTATGGCAGGGCTGTTCCATGGTCTCACTCCTCTGGTGGCAGTAACTGCTCCTTCATTTCTGGTTCAAAGGCGCTAGTGTTCAGTGTATAGCCATTTGCTATAGTGCCAGCATAGTTCTCCATCTTACATAGCTTGTTGCCTTCTCAGATTGCAAAATGCCTATCCTTGAGAGACAGCAGTCACAAGTCCTTTCACATGTGTTTTGCTAGACTCAAGGAAACCCAAACCATTCTATGATTCTATGATAATGGGAGGTCATCAGCCTTGGTAGTCATTCTGTTGATACATCCCAACTTAGTGTCACTAACAAGTTTTCCCAGCACAACCCTAATCTCCATCCCATGGTCCTAGATACAAATGCGCAGTGGAATCTAAAGAAATTATAGCAAAAGTCAACATTTTTCATACCACTCCAACATTCCGGAGATACTCATTAATGAATGCCACCTTCCCACCCAGCTCTCCTCAGGAGGAGGTCCCAGGAGGCCTCCTTGGTCCTACAGCCAACGTGGTGGGGAATGGTTCGTGTTGGAAGGGACCGTAAAGATCACCTCATTCCAACCCCCTTGCCATGGGCAGGGACACCTCCCACCAGACCAGGTTGCTCAAAGCCCCATCCAGCCTGGCCTTGAACACCTCCAGGGATGGGGCAGCCA